CGCACGCCTCATGGAAATGGCCGAAGCCATGGTCCAGGTAGCGGAGTCCACTGCATCTGAGGCCGCTTGGCGGGCTGCCCTGGCCACAGCTCTGCCCTCATCCAGAATAGCCAGGAACTCCTTCCTGGGCTCCTCTGGCAGCGAGTCTGCAAACTTGGCCATGGACTGCCAGATGTTAAAATCATAATGGCCTAGTAAGGCCTGCTGGTTGGCCACTCTTAGCTGGAGGCTGGCCATAGAATAAATCTTTCTGCAAAGAGATCAAGCATATTCGCCTCCTTATTCTTAGGGTTCAATCCCGGTTGGCCCTGTCTATCGCGCTCATTAGCTGCTGATACCACCAGTGAGCTTGGAGTGGGGTTTGTATACAGGTATTCAAATCCCTTAGCAGGGACATAATACTTTCTCTCTGCCCGCTTGGAGATGGGGGGCAGGGAGGAGGAAGTTTGCCATAAGGCCTTGATCAGCTTTACCACTCTCTGGTGGAGGGGCAATGCTACCTTGGAAGGGGCTGCTGCAATTAAAAATCAAACAGTGAGTCGGAGGGTTCCGCCAACTCCTCAGCCTTCAACCGCAGGTTAGATGCCACCCTCTTTAGAAGCTCCTGGTGACTCTTTACATTGTCTTTGGGAAGTGTGTGGGAAGGTTCTGCTATTGCCTCATCAGGTGAAGAGGATGAGGAGGCAGGTAACGGCGGGTTTGCCAACTCTGTAGTCTCTGCCAGGGGAGCCTCAGCCAAGGCTCGCTGATCCTGGTCTGACTCCGCTTCCAAGTCTGGCGGCGGGCGGGAGACTGTTACTGTTTCTCAGATGCCCTGAGACTAATTGGTGCCCCTGCAATTGTTGGGGAAACCCCTAGGCATTCCATAGCTGCTAGGGAGCCGGCCATTGGCCCTGAGACCATGTGGCCACTGCTGGTCCCAATGGGAATGCTTATGCCCCAAGTTGTTGGGCTTGGCCTGCAGGCAAATCTTCCTCCTCACTCTCTGAGCCTGAGGAGGGAGAGACTCGTCTGGGGACCAGGACGGTACTGATGCCGCCTGTCTACCTTGTTCCCGTCTACCTGTTCTCCGCAGGTCTTCACCGGTGACCTGTACTGGGAAGATGGCTCTCTCGGTGCTATGTCTCCAATGACCAGCAGCAGCATTTGGTGGATCAGTTCCAGTACCCCGGTGATCGAAGCCTCACACTTTGAGAGCGGTGCTGCTCCATGGACCAGGAGCGATAGGGGCGATGTCTTGGTTCAGGAGATCACTGACGTGCCGGTGGGGATCTGTAGCAGCGAACCAGAGACAGATGACAGGACTCAGGGGATTGGCATTTCGGCTCTCCGGAGTGGTGCCGTGAGTTTGGAGATGAACTCGGCTGCTCTGGGTATTGGTGCCGGGACTCCGGGGACTGGCGATGTGTCTCCACAGGTCTGCATCAGAGA